TAGGAGACGGACAGCCTCAGTACGGAATCGTACAAGAACCAGAAGATTCTCAGTAGGAGTGCCTCGCAGGTGGAGTAGAAGAACAATCTGAAGCGCAGTAGTTTTCTCTGTAGTAGCTGATGAACATTAAAACATTTTTACCGTACTTTTCTCTAGTTGATGACGGATTTATTATTTTAACAGTACTTTCTTTATGGACTATGTATTTTATTCCTAGTTGAACCGTTTTTGTAATAAGGGCGTGTTTGACCCATATTTTTATGTCTGGGATGATTTACTGTTGATGATATGTCTATTTTTATTCTGGGTTGTCTTTATATTCTTGCTATGTGTGATCGGGGACCTGTGACTTCGTATTATACTTATTTCCAGACGCTTAGCGTATTGGATTGAGAAGAAAAGAAAAGAAAAGAAAGATAGTAGTGAATATTTCTTCTCAATCTAATACGTCGCGGGCTTGTTCACGTTCCGGTTCCCCGGTATTTTGGGAAGCGGGGCGTGACAGAACCAGTCCGAGTTTTGTTCAAACCATCATTTGGTGGTTTGACTTTGGCCAAGCCACCATTTGGTAGTTTGACATTGGCCAAGCCACCATTTGGTGGTTTGACATTGGTCGAGCTACCATTTGGTGGTTTGACATTGGCCGAGCCACCATTTGGTGGTTTGATTTTGGCCGAGCCACCATTTGGTGGTTTGACTTCGGCCGAGCCACTATTTGGTGGTTTGAATTTGGACGAGCCACCATTTGGTTTTCTGGTTTTTTCGATGCATTTGGACACCGTTTGGGTTGTTTTTTATGCCGGTTTGGACTTTGGCCTCCAGACTCGGCGGGATCTTGGTGGCTTCTTGATCACTTCTTCTTGTTCCAAATTCTGCGCTTCTTGCATCAAAGCTCGCGCATGCGCGAGTAACGCGCGGCGTTTCTGGATCCCTTCTTCAAGAGTTGAACACGTCCTTTTGACGCGGATCCATTCATTCGTGGTTGAGTTGGAGGAGTTGGCTACCCGCTGTTGCGGCGTTTGGCGCCTCCTGAACTTCAGATCCGCTTCATAGCGAATTCCATCAATCGGTTCTAAGGCCTTGGCCATCTGTCGCGCAAGGCGTTGTCGTCGTCTCTGTCGTGCCCTCTTTGATAGAACGGGAACATTATCAGTAGTCAACTCCTCGCCCAAGGAGTTCAGATCTGCGGCGCCGGCCTCGTTGGAAGTCGGCGAGGCGTTGTAAGCCACAATTAAAGCAGTGGCGGGGGGGGTCTTCAAATCCGAAGACCAGCGAACCTTCCTGGACTTACGAGGAGAGGTGGATCTGGATGGGGAGGACAAATACTCTTCATACTTCTGCTGGTCGAACTCATATTCGACCTCCTCTTCAACCGGGATGAGAATCCGAGGTTACGACACATCAGCCTTTGTAGAAAGGCTGTCGGCTCCCTCTGTGGTCGCCAGTTTGTTTTCGTGGAAAGCTGCCTTCATCATTGATTTCATTAAACTTTAGTCGTTACAAATGAATTCAAATAACAAAAATAAAAATTATAACTTTCTTGAAAATAAACACAAGATCCGTTTATCGGCTCTTGCTTGCGTGGGTTCTTTGCCGGTGCCGGGGTTAATCCGTGGACGACCGCGAATCAGATCCGGTTACAGGAAAATTCGACAGAGCTTCGCCTTCGCCGAGAAAGTTTTCTGGTTTGAAGCGCTGAGATCGACAAAGCAAAATCAGGGCTCTTCTCGAGATTAAGACCAAGCCTAATATCAAGGAACGGACGTACGGGCTTCGGATCCTTCGAACGGCTTCTCCTTTGCACCAAAGTTCGCCGGGATCTCGTTGACCTTCGCTGAAATTTCGTGCTCCTTCACTCTTCAATCTAGCAGCACCTCGTCCTCTTGATAAAATTCCAGCTCTTGAAAATGGAGGCCTTTGGCTCATATTTATAGGCCCCGGATGCGGTTATTTGGACGAGAACAAGTGATTTAACTCTAACTTCAGTTAACAACAGCCTAATCATGTTTAAGGATGAGATCAAGTCAGTTAGGAACCACTGGAACCGATAAACTCTGCAAAAAAAAACCGCTTTAAAACCGCCAAAACACGTCTGGGAGTCGAAACAGCGCGACAAGAAAATCCGACCCACACTTGCGCGGGTCGGATAATCTGACCTGCGCTTGCGCGGGTCAGATAATCCGACCTGCGCTTGCGCGGGTCAGATAATCCGACCCGCGCTCGCACGGGTTGGTTTGTTCCGTCTCGCGCTCGCGCAGGTTTGCCGACTCTTTCTTTTCCTGTTCTCTTTCTTCCGAGACTTGTTATTTTCGCTTGTTTGGTCAATTTG